ACGATACTCGGCTTCCGTAGAAGACTTGGAAACACGATCTTGCTTCTTACAACGCCACGAAATAACAGAATCACCCAGTTTCACGAGCCAACCTGACGTCGATCTACGAGTGTCCAGGCATCCTGCATAATCAGCGTCTGCATAGGCTGTAAGAGACAAAGTACCTAACGAAGGAAAATAAATTCCAACCTGCGCCGTCCCCTTCAAGTATCGAAGAACCCGATGTACGGCATCTAAGTGTTGTGTTCGTGGTGATGACATAAATTGACTGACTACCTGAACGGCGTATGCAATGTCAGGCCGAGTAGAAGTCAAATATATGAGACTGCCCACCAAGCTGCGATACCTCGTACTATCTACAGAAGAAAGACTCTCTCCACTGGACCGAGAGAGTTTCAAATGTTGTTCCATCGGTGTCATAGCCGGGTTACAATCATCCATTCGTGCCTCTTTAAGAAGATCCAGGATATACTTATGTTGATTAACAAATAGACCGTGAGAAGAACGCTGAATTTCCAATCCCAAGAAGTATGAGAGATTACCCAACTCCTTAAGATTGAATGACTGATGAAGGAACTCTTTCAGTTCACGAATACCATCTGAATCACTTCCAGTAACAATCATATCGTCGACATATATCAAAAGAACAACCAAACCATGAACTGTCTTACGAATGAACAACGAGGGATCAGTGTCGCTCTGCACAAAGCCCGCCTGGAGAATTGTATGATGAAATTTCTCAAACCACGCTCTTGGAGCCTGTTTCAAACCATACAACGACCGGTTCAAAAGACAAACCATAGTATCATCTCCTTTGTCATATCCCGGTGGACGCTCCATGTATATAGTTTCTTTCAAGTCACCATGCAGAAATGCATTCTTAACATCCAGTTGAGACAAGGACCACCCTTTCAAAGCCGCCACAGCCAAGAGTGTGCGGACAGTTTGCATTTTTGCCACCGGTGCAAAAGTCTCATCGTAGTCAATTCCGAACTCCTGACTGAATCCCTGAGCAACAAGTCGTGCTTTGAACCTATCCAGTGAGCCATCGGGATGCAATTTTATCGTATAGATCCATCTACATCCTATAACCGCCTGATGGATGGGACGTGGGACAAGCTGCCAGGTGTTTTGAGCCTCCAAAGCGGAGGTTTCGTCGCGCATGGCAGCATCCCAAACATCCTTCCCTCGTGCCTGACGATATGTACTGGGAATAGGAATGGAGGAAGGGTCTATGGAAAATGCCACAAAGTCATTGTGACGTGAGGGTGGGTGGCCAAAATTCACTCTAGTGGAGTGACGTCTCTCCACGGCTTCATGAACTGGAGATTCAGGTGGAGTATCTTGCGGACCCGATGAACCAGAAAAAGAGGAAGAGGAGGTCTCGGATGAAGATGAAGATGAAGACCCAGAAGATCCAGGCGAAGAATCGCCACCAGAGTTCATAGAGCTCACTGCCGAGCTGGTGGTGGAGCCCGAATGATGAGAAGCTGATGATGCGGGTTCATGCGTGGGAGAAGGAATGGACGGTGCCACTGTTTCTAAAAGGACAGCAAGGGGAAGTGAGTTCAAAAATTCTACATCAACAGGGGCCGATTCGCTGGACTCTCGATAGTGCATAATGTTCTCCAAGAACACAACATGACATGATAACCGAACTCGACGAGATACAGTGTCATAACATAGATAACCCTTCGAACGTTCACTATAACCGATAAAGACACATTTTGCTACCTTCGGATCCAACTTCTTACGCTCTTTTTTCGGCAGTAATACATAACAAGTACAGCCAAAAACCTTCAGCCAACCATAGTCGGGATGCTTGCCGTAGAGAGCAAAAAAAGGTGACTTCTGTTCAAGCACAGGTGTAACCTGCCGATTGATTAAATAAACTACCGAATGAACAGCCTCGACCCAGAAAGTCGTCGGAACCTGAGAGTGAACAAGAAGAGCACGGGTAAGATCAAGAACATGTCGATGCTTTCGTTCTACCAATCCATTTTGTTGTGACACGCCTGGGCATGACTGCTGTGAGACTATGCCGTTTTCCCTGTAGAAATTCATCAATGGAAGAGAACTAAATTCGCCTCCGGGATCCGAACGAAATATCTTTATAGTTTTGCCAAACTGGGTGCGAATCAACTGGACAAACTCACGAGCAATGTTACACAAATCTGATTTCTGTTTAAGAAAGAATACCCATGTGTATCTCGTCGTGTGATCAATGAACAAAGCGAAGTAACGATAACCCAACCGCGAATTAACCTGCGAAGGACCCCAAAGATCCGTGTGCACTAAGTCGAACGGCTCGGAATACACTGTATCACTCGAAGCAAAGGAACTCTGTATAGTCTTGGCCTCAATACAACTAATACACGGATTCAAAGGAATAGATGAAGTATTCAAATTGCCAGGAAGCAATTTATTCCGAAACATAGTCTGTAAACGTGCAGTATTGGGGTGACCCAGACGACAATGCCACAATTCCCAATCCAAAGGAGAAACAGAATAAATGTTCAAATCCGACATAGAATGACTAGAACAATGAAAAGAAGATCCCTCTACAGATCGAACTTCACATCCTTGTTGTGTCCCACGATCCAACGACTCCAGGATGAAAGTTCGGCCATTCTTTTTCCCATTACCCACTGTCTTCCCAGTTCTCCGATCCTGCACCATACATCCATCGGAATCAAACACAACACGACAACCATCTTCTGTCAACTGCCCCACAGAAACAAGATTTGGAACAAGGTTCGGAACATATAATGTGTCAGGAAGCTGTAGATGAGTCTGTTTCACAGTACCAATGGCCGCGACGGGCATTCTAGAACCATTCGCCACTTGGAGTTCAAGTGGAGGACTAGAACGCAGATTCACAAATTTATCACGCAAGCTAGACATGTGGTTGTAGGCAGCAGAATCGAGATACCAAGAATGGGAAGTACCTGAAGCGTTATGAGCAGCAAAGACTGTATGGAGAGCAGCGGGAAGAACTTTCTGCAGTGTTGACTCAACCAGCTGCTCGAGAGATGCGGGACTCAAAGACTGCAAAGGAGGAGCTGTACCGAGAAGACCAGGAGCTGGCGCTGAAGGGAGAGCAGGAGGGACGAAAGGCTGAACCCCATAAGCCGGAACAGAAGGAGGAGGAACGGAGTGGGCAGCAGGAGTGCTGTAAGCCGGAACAGCTGCCGGACGTGATCCACCACTTTTGCCACGCTTGGCAAGCGTTGGGCAATCAAGAACAATATGACCCGAGGTTTTGCAATAGTTACAATAATTCCTTTTCTTACAATAAATCTGAACGTGCCCTTTCTCTTTGCAGTAGTGACATTCGACATGAGCTGGTACAGGTTTCTGAAATTGAGGTTTACCTGTACGACCCACAGCGAAAACAGACTCCCCGCTGGAGTGCGAATGATTAAGCTGAGCTTGACTCCGCAACCGAGTTTCCTCCCGTAGTAGTTCAGCTAAAGCTTCATCCATAGTAGCGACATTACGATGAAGCAAAGAAGCACGTATAGGCTCGAAGTCCGAATGAAGCTTCATCAAGAAGTGCATCAACCGAGTTCGATGTCGTTCAGCGAGCATGGCAGGAGGTATAGCTTCCTTAGTAAGAGCAGCGAAGAGCATATCCTCCTCGGTCCATAAGTGGAGAGCGGCCTGATAGTATGTGCGAATGTCGGAGTCGCCCTGACTAAGAAGAGCGAGGGCCTGAGAGATCTCGAACTGACGGGATGCACTTTGTTGAGAGTGTAGGGTGCGCAGGTGAGTCCACATCCCATGGGCAGTAGTGAAAGAGCGGAGACTTAGGGCGATGGACGGCTCCACAGCAGCGGATATCCACCCCATAACTTGAGCATTATTCGCCGCCCAATCCGCCTGCTCATTGTCCGGTGCTGAAGACGGCGGCTTAGCAGCCGTACCATCCAAGTAAGAAAACATGCGTTTACCCTCAGCAAAGAGACGGAATTGAAATTCCCACAAAGGGAAGTTCTTGCCATTCAAACGCGCCGACACCAACTCTTTGGCAGTGTCCATGATTGCAAAGGAAAGAATAACGTCCAAGCACTAAAAGGATTAATAAGAAAACCCTTACCGCGGAACCCGCAACTGATCACAGAGAAACCCGAACAGTGGCTGACCAAGGGAATCCCAAAATACAAATAGCAAAAGCGATGAAGGCAAGAAAACCTCCAAACCCGATCAATCAAAACTCTATAATCCCACGGAAGCTTCACCAATCGTGCAGCCAATATAGAAGATCACGAACAGCGGCAGGCCAAGTCACAAATCACGGGCGGCAGCAGCTAGGTATGCCCAGAACTCCAAACACGAAATCTCAAACACGAGACGCCTGGCACGGCTCTGATACCATGTTAAACAATCACGAATCAAGGTGCGAAAACATAAAGAACACGAGATTTTTTACGTGGTTCGGCCTCTCAGAGAGACTTTACATCCACGGTGATTAGCTGTCTTCTTATTACGTACTTAGCTATAAGCCTAAACCTAGGCTATATAGCCAACAATACACGCACGCCCTAACCACAAGAGCTGCATGCTAAAGTTCCCTTTTGGTCCATACAGAAAATACTATTTACAAATATGCCCATACGTATACATATTTCAACAGTCACCACGTAGTCGCCATGCAAAACCCGTCACCCCAATCCCTCTTTTCATATAAAAGCCTACCATCAATGGATACACTTACACCAAACTTCTAAACATATATATAGCTCTAGTAACAAAACCTTACAATGTCGCCAACTAATGCCAACCCGATCAGCCTCACAGCCCTAGCAGCGAATGTAACGTTCTTGGCCGCCGCCCTCCTCCTGGTTCCGACGGAGGCCTCCGTCCGCACCACCGTGATCATCGACCAGGCGGTGGCCGGAAACTGGTGGGGGATGCTAGGCGATTGCCAGCAATACGTGGTGAACGAAGCGGTGCGGGGCAGCAACGGCGGTCTGCCGTCAGGGGGAAGGCCCCGCGAGATGTACTTGGAGATGTGCTGCCGTCAGTTGAAAGAGATGGAGACGGCCACCGACGACGCTTACTGCGTGGGTATTGAGAAGTCGATGCGGGAGCTGATGGAGCAGCCACGGACGCAGTTGATAATGCGGGAGGAAGACGTGGAGAGTGCGTGGGAGATCGCCGGTGAGCTGCCTGGGAAGTGCGGCGCTTCCGTCTCCCGGTGCCATTTCAACCGTCCGGCATGGTTTTGAAGAAAACGAACCAACTTTGTGCGTGTGTGCTAGCTAGTAGCTACTTTAAAGGACGTTTGTCGTTTGCATGTGTATAGCGTCGTCAACGTTTGGAAGTTGTCGTTAATAAGCTGTAGCTAGCTTGGTAATAAGAAGTTTTGTTTCTTCTTGCTGTACGTTGTTTTATGGTGTTCAATAATTAGGCTCCACCTCCAGTCAATACTCGCTCATGTTGTTTATCATGATCCCCAGTACTCGGGCTTGTCAGTCATCTAGCGGAATAAACTCGGGCTTCTAGGGTTTAAACAATTTGGACTTAGCCGTAGTTTGGACCGGGCTGAAACAGATCACCCGAACAAAAACGCGTTCCCAGTTGAATGGCAAAGAAGCGAACCGAGTTGTGCCAAAAGAATGTGTTAGAACCATAGTTAGTAAATAATTCATGTAATACACGTATATGTATCTGTACGTATTTTATTCGTTTAAAACTTCCGTATTCGTATTATTGTCAAGCCGTTTCATTAGTTTCTATTGATTTTGACGGCTCTCATACTAAACACGTATAAAACTCGTATAACACGTTTAATATCCGTATTTAGTGAAATAAATTAATAACTTTACTATTTTTTACATGTTTATTTATTTATAAAAATAATTAATTTTATTTATTTATGACTATTAACGTACAATTAAACGTAACATTAGCTAAGAGACGAAGTATAATACCCGTACGTATTTTATACGTAACTTTCCAGTATTATATTTTACTAACTATGGTTAGAACTAGGGTGCAAATCGGTTTGGTGTCGGTTAACCACTAATCGATATCGTGGATTGGCGGTTAGCGGTTAACCAATAAGCAAAAAGATCATCATCATCCACATCAAAGAAACAAAGACTTCTAGGGTGCGACGTTCGATCTATCAGTTCCAAAGGGGAGTCAGAGAGGATGACTTTTGGGTTCTAACTCTTAAACACATTTAAACTTTGGGTGGAGAGTTGTTTACAATAAGTGAAAATTGGGATGTCTGAAATTGTGACTTTGGCAAACACCAAAACTATGTGGTTATACTAGTAGGCAGTTATCGGTTATCGTATCGATTAACCACTAATCGATTAGTCGGTTGGCAGTTAACCATTAAGCAAAATACAACTAACCGAAACCACTAAGAAATTAGCGGTTATGAGTTAACCATTAATCATAGTTATCAGTTAAAATCGATAACCGACTAACCATTTACCACCCCCTAGTTAGAACAGATCGGTAAATCGAACAACTAAAGAACAAACATATGTATGTGATCTACTAATGTAATGTGTGAAAGCTAATCCACGGGAAAGAGAGAGTTAGTTTTACTATATTGGAGAATATACAAATTACAAAAAGGTTGAGAAGTATATATAGTACTTCTCTAGACAACCTAACCCTAATAATCATAATAATAATAATAATATTATTATTATTATTATTATTATTATATAAAAAAAATAAGTAGAATGTTACTATTGCATAGTGTCTCATCACAAGATGTGGTCTTTTGTAATTGACCAAAGTTTAAAGGTTTTTTTTTACATTAGAGATCTAATTAATTAGTTTGTGACAACTAAGTTCAAATTGAAGATTCTATTAAGATTCCAATTAATTAACTAATGGTACTTGATTCGAGATTGAACCAAAATCAATGGGTATTCGACCTAATTCAAATCGGCTAAAGCAAGTTGAACCCTATGTTGACTAATTTTGGCTCACCAATGAGTTTTGCCGGCTTAAATCAATGTGAAGGTTCTATTAAGATTCCAATTAATTAACTATTAAATTTTGAAGGGTTTTTTTTACATTGAAGATTCTATTAAGCTTCCAATTAATTACTAATGATACTTGAGCCGAAATTGAACCAAAATTAATGGATATTCGACCTAATTCGAATCGGCTAAAGCAAGTTGAACCCAGTGTTCGACAAATTTTGGTTCACTAATGAGTTTTTCCCGCTTACATCAATTTGAAGGTTCAAGGTTCCAATTAATTAACAATTGATACTTGAGCCGAGATTGAACCAAAATCAATGGGGTATTCGATCTAATTCCACTCGGCTAAAGCAAGTTGAACTCGGTATTGACGAATTTTGTCTCACCAATAAGTTTTGCCCGCTTAAATCAATGGGTATTTGACCTAATGTCGACCCGGTTAAAGCGAGCTTTTGTTTACACGGTTATCTTGATTCGACCTGGTTAAAGCAAGTTGAACCCGACAAATGGGTATTTGACCTAATGTCGACACTCTTAAAGCAAGTTCGACTTGATGTTGACGAGTATTTTATTATAAGTTTAAATCAATGGGTATTGACCAAATGTCGACCAGGTTAAAGCGAGCTCGACCCGACGTTGATGAGTTTTTTCTTACACGCTTAAATCAATGGATAGAGTTTTTGCTTATACGCTTAGTATTTGACCTAATGTCGACCTGGTTAAAGCGAGTTCGACCCGACGTTGACTAGCTCTTTGCTTACATGCTTAAATCAAATGATATTTGACCTGATTTTCTAGTTTAAAAGAACAAACACAGAAGTTACTATTTGGTAAAGTCACACATCAACTAGAATTGTTTTATTGTTAAATTTTTTATAATTCATCAAATATTTTAGATATTTTCTCTTATGACTAAACCCAAATTTTGGGTTGGATACGAATTTTATTCGCTTTTGCAATTAACGAAACAGGTCGGTGTGAATTTTGTTAAAAACCCGTCCCGCTTTATCGAGTTGAATCCAACGTTGATAAATTTTGGGTTGGGGATGAGTTTTACTCGCTTTTGTAATCAACGGATTGGGTCACGTGTGAATTTTGTTAGAAACTCACCCCGCTTTATCATATTGGTAAGAAAAAAGTTGAATCCAGTATTAACGAAGTTTGGGTTAGGGACCCGTTTACCCGCTTTTGTAATCAACGGATCGGGTCACATGTGAATTTTGTTATAACTCACCCCGCTTTATCAGACCAGTCAGAAAAAGTTGAATCCAGTTTTCACAATTTTTTGTTGCTTTGCGATTGAACCCAAATGGGTGTGTATTCGATCTAATTCGACTTGGTCAAAGCAAGTAGAACCCGGTGTTGACGCTTTTGGGGCAAGGATGAATTTTATTCTCTTTTGTAATCATTGGATTGGGTCGCGAATGCATTTTTACGCGCTTCTGTGATCAACAAATTGGGTTGGGTGTGACTTTTGTTAAAAATACGACCCTCTTTATCAAACCGGTCAAGGAAAGTTGAATCAAGTGTTGACAAATCTTTTGTCGTTTTGGCCTTGAACCCAAGCCAATGCGGATTCGATCTGATTCGACCCATTCAAAGCAAGTAGAACCCGGTGTTGACAAATTTTGGGTTGATAAACCTATTCAAGTATTTAACTTTTAGTAAAAACAAATTAAATATTCTAATCCATTTATTAAATGAAAATTAACCGCATAAAATAACTGAATCGCTAAATGTCGCCCTAAGAATTGCTAAAGGTCGCCCTAACTTACAATTCAATTTACCTATACACCCTTAATAAAAATTTAAAAAATAGGCCAACCAAACAGCCCTTTCACCCTTCCACCCTCTCCCTCTGCAAAATCAACCCGCCGCCGGAGACCTCTGCAACCCGCCGCCGGAGACTCTGCATCCCGCCGCCGGCCTGCCAAGTTGCCGCCGCCCGCCAGTCGCCGCTCGTCCCGCCGCCGCCCGCCAATCGCCGCTCGTCCCGTCGCCCGCCTCGTCCCGTCGCCGACCCTCTGCATCTCGCGCTCCACAGTCGCGCCGGAGAAGAAGAAGCTAAAAAAAAAAAAAAAAAATCGACCGCAGTGAAACCGCGGTTAGGCCGACGGTCAACCGCGGTCAACACGCGGTTGAACCGACGGCTGACCGCAGTCAAAGGGCGATTGACCAATGGTCAAACCGCGCTTTGACCGCGGTCAGCCGTCGGTTCAACCGCGCGTTGACCGCGGTCGAATTTTTTTTTTTAATTCTGTTTTTTAATATTCTGTGTTTAAATAAATGTTATTAATAATAAAAAAATTAGTTATATGATATAAAAATTTGAAAAACGTTTTCGATAAATGTTAATTAATGATAACAAATTTAAAGAACATAATAAAAAAATTAAACATTTTAATAATCAAAATTTAAAAGTAATTCGTTTATCTACTTAATTATTAATAATTTTACCTTAATTAATTATTTAATTTTATGTAAATAATGATTACATAGAACGTAACGTAAATAATGATTACATGGAAATCTTAAATTAATTACTTTATGTACTCTATTATTAATAATCCATTATTAATAATTCAAACGAAAAAATCATAAATCATATAAAAAATAGAAAATTATTCAACGAAAAAAATAAACCCAAAAAATGCCCAACCGCAAGTGACCTGCTGTTGGACCATGGCCGGACCGCAAATCACCTGCGGTTGTACCATGGGTGGACCGCAATTGACCTGCGGTTGGACCATGGCTGAACCGCAGGTGATTTGCGGTCCAGCCATGGTCCAACCGCAGGTCATTTGCGGTCCAGCCATGGTCCAACCGCAGGTGATTTGCGGTCCGGCCATGGTCCAACCGCAGATGATTTGCGGTTCCTTTTTTTTCGTTTTTCAGTTAATGTATTTACCTCGTCGGAGTCGCTACTCCGACGATATCGGCTTCAAAATGACGATGATGGATTTTTCTCTTCTTAGATAGTGTTTTTTTAGTCGCGTGTGTTCTTGCTATTGCTACCGTCTTGATGCCATTTAAGATTTATTTGAAGTTAGAGTTTTTTTTATTCTTATGATTGTTTTTATTTTTATTCTTATTATTATTAGTTCATTTAAAATTTAAGTGTTTCTGACAATTAAACCCAAATTCGTGGGTGTTCTTGCTAATTCGACCGGATTAAAAAGACTTGAACCTGGTTTGTGATCACAAAATTTGGGTCAAGAGCAAGTTTTGGCCGCTTTTGTAATTGATGGGTTGGTTCAAGTGTGAATTTTGTTAAATAGTCGATCTGCTTTCCATCCAACTCGCTGCTAAATTGTAAAACAATCGATCCGATTAAAGTGGGTTGACTCGTCCCGAATATCACAACAAAATCCCACCTAAGGCCCAAGTATAAACCTTATATGGATGCAATGTAGGGAAAGTATGTTTAAATATCAACCCGGTCCGGTCCATGTACCCCTACTTCAATTGTTTGAAACATTATCTAGTGGGTTGATCTTTGGTTGAAAACTATAAAGAAATTAAAACAAAGCAAAGGTAAATGGTTTGAAAGCTCCAGATGAGAAGGATCACTCGGGTGTTGCTTCCCCCTAACTACTATACCATAGCTCGTGGACTCGAATGGGTCATTATGGGCGAGGCAATCATGAACCGCTAGGAAGTGCAACTATGGTCGAAGACCGCATTCTCAATTGCCAAACCAAGGGATACATTATATGCTACTAGAGAAGCCCTCTTGGTTAAGGCAATTGAGGGTTGACTTACCTTCTCCCTCAAACCGATGGTTGGATGGCTTACTCATGATTAAACTAGTCGTTTAATTCAAGATAGAGGTTTGCCCTACATTAACCTAGGTAGGTGGCTTGAAAATCCCAAGGAATCCCAACTCAATTGAGCCTATTTGGAAAGGGGGTTTTCCCTCTAACCTAGGTTAGAATGGCCAATTAGATTGCCAAGCACAAACATGCACAATCATCATGAAAAATACCTCAATCATTAAATTAAACAACACCCATAAACAATCATTCAATTCACACAACAATTACATGGCAAATAATTAGAGGATTCCACAACACCCAAGTGAAAAAGGAAACTAATCCATGTTAGAAAGGGAAAGAACACAAAAGAAAGAAGTAGAAACCATCATGGTGATGCCTCCACTCTCCTTTGATCTTCTCTTGGAAAGATTTTTCCCAATTCACCACTTGGAGCAAACCCTAGCCTCCTTTCTTCTTTGTTTCATCCTTTCTCTCTCTAAAATCTGAAGAAGAAGATGCTTTCTCACACTTGGGCTCCCCTCTCTCTTCCTTTCAGCTCACATTATATACTGGATCGGGCTCAATTCACGGCCGTGAACACCTTAACATGTCCGTGAACTCAGCGTCATCTCCAAAACACACTGCGTCATCTCCAAAACACACTGCGTCACTCTCCAGGGTTCAAGGTTTGCACTCAAAGTTCAAGGTCTTGGTGACCGTGAACTCACTCGGCGTCAGTAACCTCTGAAACCTCCCTGGATGCTTCGCGGTTCACGGTTTATGGTTCCAGTTCACGGTCTTAGGAGACCGTGAACTCCAATGGGAAACCATGAACATGGCCTAAATCACTCTCTTTGCCCGGTCTTTGCTCCTTTTCTTCCAACTTCGACTCCAGGGCTGGTTTCACCTGTTAGACACGAGAAATTTAGTGTAAAACCACCCTTTTAGGAGCACAAATGCCACAAACGCCCAAGGAAAACAGGGATAAAATGTATACAATTAAGCCCGAATCATGGTTTGAATTCGATGTTGATGCGTTTTGGTTCTTAGAGTTAAATGAACCCAACTAAACTCGGTGTTTTCGAAAAAAAAGGTCGAGAGTGTCGGGGTGATCACCAGGTGACCATTTCATTACTAAATAAAACTTTTAGGGTCTTTTAAAATTGTTGGTTTGCTTTTGTTTCTTCCACTCTTCCCAGCCACAAAAACTTTCTCTTTCCTCTCCTATCTTATCCCTTCATTTCTGTCTTCCACTCTTCCTCTTTCCCCATTTGTGCGGATCTATTTTCTCTCTCCACAAACGAGGAAGAAGGAGCCAGAAGGTGAAGAAAAAGTGGTTTTATTCTACGATTCTCCTGATGGTGGACGAGCGGATAGAGGCGGTCAGCTCTTGAGGGAGAAGCGAGGACAAAAATGCCCAACGAAGTCGCAAATTGATTTTCCCCTACTCCAACCTGTCCCGAACATCAGATCCTTCCTACTTCTCCTTCTTCCGGACCAGTTCGAGCCGACCACCAGTGGCTTGACGGTGGCCTAAGTATAGAGGTCTGATGACGTTGGCGGGTCGATGATAGCGCGTTGATGGAGGTGTTTAGGGGTTGCAGCATTACTGTTGGGTTACACGGCGATGGGAGGAGTAGCGGCGCGGTTCGTCCGATGCAGCAACGACATAGATTGACCGTGGAGGAGGCGGGGGTCCATGTTGGATGTGGATCGCTAATTGGGATGTGATGATCAAGATAGAGATTTTGTGAAAGGAAGTGCCAAACGTGATGGAATATAAGCGGCGACGGCGGCGGTATCCTTGGATTTACGAATATGCCAAGACGGACACAAGTGGCGGCGGCTTAGCTGAGCGACAGTGGTTGAGTTGTGGATTTGCATAAATGGTCACCGTCAGCAATGATAGAAAGGGGCAATGTTGATCTGGTGGTAGCACGGTGACGGGGTGTGAAGATGGCGATGCGAGCCTGGAAACAAAGCCTGGTGGGCGAGTAAACCCGATGGCGGTGCGGTACTTCGGTAAGTATGGTTTTCTTTTCGTTTAGTTATTGTAATTCTAGTTCAGCTATATCTTTATGGAAGGAAAGGATATATTTGAATTCATCTTTATTGAATCTCTTACGAAATTCTCACCCAAAAGAAGAAGAACACAAACCCTAGACAAATATGATCTCACCGTTTTCATAGACAAAGACAATGAAAAACAAGAAGCAGAAAGCAAGGAAGCAGAAGAAGAGGAAGAGGAAAAGACAAGGTCAAAAGGGAAGAAGAAAATGGCGCGACGACCGTAGAGGAAAAGGGACCTTCTTGAAGAACATCTGGTCAGTCTCTGTCCATTCTCTTCTATATTTTCTTATGTTCCCATCTATCTTCTTATTTGTGGTTTCGAATCATAAGCTTTATAATGGATGTCCATTGTCGTATCTTCTTCGTACGTATCTTCTCTTTAGCTTTACGCTAATTGATAGTACAACCCTTTACCCTAAATTCATAAGGAGATCTTCCTAGGATATTTGCCTCGAAGACCACAGGACTAAGCATTAATTGCCCGTTGTAGGCGATCTAGATAAAGTAGGGCATGTCTAGGGCGCCTGACATAGCATTTAATGCCCCAAACTCCACATAACTGACTATAAATACCTTCAAATCTGCATTGATGGTAACTCAACTACTTCCTCTCTCTCTAAACACGAACTTAAATTCTCACTTCTCTCTCTAACTCTCTAACTTAGGCACTGGAGAATGTCCAGGGCAACCGCCCACAGACCCTTGTTTTGTAGGGATCAGGAGTACACCCACCATCTCGAACAGACGCCTCACTCGCTCTTCATCAACCCGCCTAGAACATTCTAGGCTCAAACAATTTGGCGTCCACCGTGGGGCGAGTGAAGTACTGAAGAAAGATGGATGGGAGCTCTAGAACCCCAGTCGAAGGCGTGGTAGAAAGAAGCGACATCTACGGACTGGAAATGCCAACTGTGGAGGAAGAAATGGAAATGGAAGATCGCGTCAAGAGTCAGGGGCAAAAAATATCAAGTATGCAGGAAAGCCTAAGCCAAATCTTGGCCATGCTTAATGAATCGACACAAAACTACACCGCGAATTAATCCCAACTAGAGCCCAAGTTTTTAAACTCTAGTCGGGTGCAGTATAGGGCAAGTATTTAAATTGTCAACTGTTAGAAACAAAGTTTCTAACGGGTTTGATATTTGGGGATTAGGGTTTATACGAATAGAATTAGGGATTGAGATTGGGGATTTGGGGAATTGAGAAGAGAATTTGGGATTAAGAGGTAGAATTTGGGAAAGAACGAGAAAGAATGGCCGGCGGCCGGATTAGGGAAAGAAGAGAAATTGAGGGGATTTGGGAGAGAATAGGGTTTAGGGATTTTCTTAATATGCTTCTTATTGATTCTGAATGGAAGCCCAAAGTACATATATATAGGAAATAGTGGAAAACCCTAACAATAAACCTAATTGTATTAAATGACTACTAACCCTAATGAGAATTACCCTATTAGTAATAATAATAATAAATATAGAAACCCTACCGAAATTGGTTTCTAACATCTCCTCCCCCTTCAAACCAACCTTGCCCTCAAGGTTGACCAACTTGACCCAATCTTCTACGTCGTCCATGCAAACCGCACCTTGACTCATCCATCTCTTGCGCTTCCTTTTCTTCCAATCACGCTCTTGTACCCGCACACGACTTATAGCACAAGCATTCATAGCCTCCATCGATTCTTGTCCACCCTCGTGACTCACCCCATAATGCCCATGGTCACCCAAGCCTTTATCCGCCCTTTCAGATTCCAAATAATAAGAATATGAAAGCTTCCCAGCAATCCTGTCCTTTTGCACGGAACAATACTTCCACAATTCCTCATTGTAATATGAGTTGTAAGCTAGTATCAAATTACTGAGCATCTCTTGAGCCCCTACTTTCATTTCTTGTGGTCCTTCAAAACCACCCAAAATACACCCAAGCATCCATTCCTCATCATGTCGGCCCACCTCAGATGGATCTTTGGTCCCAGCGACCGCAGCAGCTCGGCCCAACTGAAATGACGAGCCCACTGCTTTCTCCCCATCATCAGAAGCCCAATTCGTTTGGCCCAATTCGTCATGTTGCTGCTGGGCTGTGTGGGTTAGGGCGAGAGGCAGCAGGAGGTTTGCGAGACCAAGGAACCCGCCGCCGCCCTCCTCCTTTGTCACCTTCTTCTTCCACTCCTGAACCAACTCGTGGCCCACTTCCTCATAGCCTAGCAAACTCCCGGCCCAAGTGCTTCGGCGCGACGAAGTAGTCTTCTGCTTGGCGGAAAGGGCCAGATGTGGCGACTTAGGGTTTGTGGGCGGAAGAACCCCGCCGTCCTTCCTCTTTTCCTCCGCCAGAAGACCCGCCTTCGCCGCACTTCTCGGCTCCGGTGGTGGCCTAGTCGACTCGTTCTCCGACACTTCCTTTTCTCTAATCGACGACCCCACCTCTCCTTTCGTCACCGCCTTCCATGGATTCGCCGCCGCTAGTGGCGTCGCCAGCTTGGTTCGCGATTCAGGCAAAGCTCCCCACTCGAAACTCATATGTCTTCACGTCGACAGTTCGTTCAGCCGGCGGCTAGGACCCCCGTCTGACTCTGGCTTCGTTTTCTTCCCCATGGCCGCATCCCCAGCCGAGATCGCCGCTCGCGGGTTCCGCAACACTGGCGTGTTCTCCCAGCAAGCTGCCGCTTCCTCCTTCTGTTCCCTCGCCGCGGATGGAGCTGTCGAAGTCGATGCTACCATGTGGAGCTCTGGGGAAACGCTGATGGTACTGATTTGGGACCCGACGGGGCTTGCTACCTTTGCGGACGCCTTCGACTCGGCTTTCTCCGACCTCGACCTCCTACAGAATCGCCAGCTCGCCACTCGACCCTGCATTGATCCCGAACCCTCGACTCGGATTCCTTCTTTGGTGGCGGAGACCCTCTCATGTTTGGAGATCGCGTCACGGTTTTCTTCAACTCCCCCAGAAGCTACAGTGGGTTCGGCAACTTTGCACCCAAAGCTATCTCTCGGTAATCGCTTCTTTTTCCGGAACTTCCACCTCTCACTTGGGTTCCGTTCTTTGGTCTTCACATCGTCGACTATTGGGGTTTCTTCTGTGCTCGGCGGCTCCGTCGCCAGGGGTTTCTCTTCCTCCTTTATCTCGAGTGGTGAAGGATTGTCTAGCGATGATGGGGATGTCACAGGAACAACAGTCGCTATTGCAGCTGCTTTCTCGGCCTTCACAGTGGCGGTGGTTGGCGACGCTGACGTGTCTTTGGTGGCCGACGAATCCGCCGCCATCAACTCCTCCAACGCCGGTTGCTCTGCCTTCTCGTCGGGGACAGGAGGTGCCGCAACAGCAGGTGGTGATTCAAGGTTTGCGGCCGACGTCGGTGAGACTAGCGTCGAAAGTTGTTGCTGATCACCAAGGCTCTTGGCGGTCAGATCTTCTTCTACTGGCGGGATTAATTTAGGAACTTGAATGATGAAATTGAATTTGCCGAAGCCAGCGCGATAATCGCCAAGGTTGTATATGGCTCTGAACCTAATAAGCTTCTTGAATCGGATCCATCTGTGTTCATCATCCAATGGCCGTTGTCCCGTTATTGCTAACACATCGGATCCAATCCTGTGCACTTCCACGTGCTAGTCCTCAAATCCAGGCAAGGTGAAGAATATGACAACACGATTGCGCAGATCCAATCGCATGATCTTGGGTTGGATGTCTTCATATACCCGTTCGTCCCCGGTTGAGAGCTGTGACGAACTCTGATCTTCGACCATGGCTCTGATACCAGATGTTAGAAACAAAGTTTCTAACGGGTTTGATATTTGGGGATTAGGGTTTATACGAATAGAATTAGGGATTGAGATTGGGGATTTGGGGAATTGAGAAGAGAATTTGCGATTAAGAGGTAGAATTTGGGAAAGAACGAGAAAGAATGGCCGGCGGCCGGATTAGGGAAAGAAGAGAAATTGAGAGGATTTGGGAGAGAATAGGGTTTAGGGATTTTCTTAATATGCTTCTTATTGATTCTGAATGGAAGCCCAAATTACATATATATAGGAAATAGTGGAAAACCCTAACAATAAACCTAATTGTATTAAATGACTACTAACCCTAATGAGAATTACCCTATTAGTAATAATAATAATAAATATAGAAACCCTACCGAAATTGGTTTCTAACATCAACCCGGGCCGGTCCATGCACCCCTACTTTAATCGCTTAAGTTGTTATCTAGCAAAATGGTTTTGGGTTTAAAACTATGAAAACTACAAATGTAAACAAGCAAGTAAAGTATAAATTGAGGTTGTCCCAATGAGAGAAGAGTTTACTCGGGTGTTGCTCCCCCTAGCTAGCAATTACGAATTGAAGGATCGAATGGTCGTATGTGGTTAGAGGGTTATAACCCGCAGGGAAGTCTAACAAGTAGCCAAGACTGCCCTCTTAGTCTCTAGGTTGAGGAAATGGGATACCATCCAAGCCGCTAATGTGACCCTCTCAACCTATCGACTAAGGAATGATTCGGACGGCCACCTACAACCAAACCCTAAGTGCTAATGCGAAATATGAGGTTTGCCCTTTAACTAACCTAGAATAGGAGGCATAACATGCCCAAGGAAATCCATCTCAAATTGAGCCTCTTAGGATAAAGGAGGTTTCCTCTCTAAACTATCCTAAGAGGCATGAAATACCCAAGAACACCCATCTCCAATGGCGCCTCTTAACCTAAGGAGGTCTCCTCTCTAAGCTAGGTTAGAATGACAATTAGATTGATAGCCTTTCACACAACACAATCATTCATGAATAATACCTCCACATTCACATTAAAACACAATCACACACAAATCATTCAATTCATACAAGCATCACATGTTTCAAGCTAGGGTTCACAACAGCCAAGTGAATAGGTAGGCTACTCCATAGGTAGGCTTCCTCCTTTGATTTGCACTTTCTCACTCGAGAAGAAACCCTAACCTCTCACTAGAATCCTCTTTATTCTAAAAAAGAAAACCTAACATAAAAATGAAGCTCTCCTTTTCTCCTCCCCTTTGTTATCTTCATATTTGCCCGAAAGTGAGCAGTTCATGGACGCGTTGGCCAGTTCACGGCCGTGAACAACTAAACGCATCTTTGAACTCAGTGTCGTCCAAAACGCACTGCTTCACTCTCATGGGTTCACGGTCAATGGCCCCAGTTTACGGTCTTAGAGACCGTGAACTGCTTTGTCGTCAGTAACTTCTGGAACATAGCTAGACACCTCGATGTTCACGATTTGTGCTCCAAGTTCATGGTCTTAGGAGACCGTGAACTGCGACTGTTTTCTGGAGGCCTTCACTTCACTGTTACAGGGCAATTGTCACGGTCTTCGGACTTTTCTTCTTCAATTTTTGCGCTTTTTAACCTCCAATTATCCCAAAACTCGTCGTCGACCCTTCCACATGTGCTATGACCTGAAATGTATCAAAACAAACACAATCTTGCGTGAAATATGTCAAGGAACGATAAACGAATAAGAAATGAGGGGTAAAATGTGTACATTTGGGCCCGAATCACGCCCCCACACTTAGACGTTTGCTTGTCCCCAAACAAACCATTTCACACAAGGTACTCTCTCAACCCAATAAGATAACTTGGGGACAAATCAAAGAGCACAAAGTGGCGAATCTCAATGACTATTGGACCTCAACACATGGACCGTTGCAAACGATATCGTCATCCACCACAAACGACATTCGAGGTCACCAAAACGGGCAAACAAAAATTTCTCTTCTTGTTCATGAATCAATGCATGTCTTAACAAGATCACTCATCAACCACAACTAGCCATGCATAGAGTTCAAGTCCAAGGAACAAATGAATGGGCAAGATAGGTCCTCACCGGGGTATGATATGACATGCAAAACAAGAATGAATCACTCACTCTCTTAACCAGTGGGGTCGGGACCTTTTTGGTGCCAAAATATGTGCACAATCATTAACACTCATCCCTATCGTCTCGCCACTACGGCGGCAACCTCTAAATGCTAGAGTTCACGGAACGGTTGTCATCACTAGCTTGTCCGGAGGTCTTAGACACGGGTTCAAATGACTGGAAATTGTCTTGGACATGGGGAAAAGGCTTTTTGGGTGGTGGCAAACACAACATGAGGTCCTACATCTTCACCTTACAACCAAAAGTTTTATGGTTTCGACTAAGAACCTTCTCTACAATCAACGGCCACTAGCATTGGCTGAAACCTCATTTCCTTTCTTCCAAACTATCACCAATCACGAACTACCTTTAAGCACACTTCCTCGATCTACTCTTGCTATCATATTTCGATATGGTAGTGAAGGAGTTATAAAACAATGTGGGGGTCTCATTGGATTTAGTGCCAAGAAACCCCTCCTAGAGCATACACTTTGGTTCTGTGGCACCCTCTACTTTATTTACCTCATTTTATTACCTCTTTATCGATTCCTTTTCTTTTCAACTTTCTTTCTTTTTCTTTTCTTTTCTTTTCTTTTCTTTTTGAGGGGGGTACTAGAGACTAAAACACTTGCCACATTTCATTTAACGACCAATGCTCACTTTTTTTTAAGAACTCACTCCAACACTACACTTCCTTTTCCATTCCTAGCAAGAACCGCACACAAACCTCCTAAGTAGAACCTCTATGGAAACTCACAGGTGAGAGCTCCGGGACACAAGGACAACTCATGTTTAGACACAAAGAAAGGATTTGGGGTCGTTCTATCAACACCATTAAGCTCACAAGCACAAAGCTCATAACTTAAGAACGACCCTCGAAGTCTCAAGGCTCAAAGGGGTTGACTAGTGGATAACACATTTCGGGACAATCAACATTTGGGCCTGGACTAATCTTATGCATCCATCATACTCGCTAGTGACAACTGTGATGTTACTCGCCATGGTAAGAGGGATCTAAGCACACAAGAAGAAAACGATCGACACAAACCTCACATGGCTACCTAATCACCCAATCAGCTATTCAATTCACAAAACACAATCCATGGAAGTTGTAATCAACAAGTAATCGAGTCAAGACATCCATTCATTTTAGAACACATGAGAACTAAACCTTTGCACTATCCTAATGCACCTCTCAGTCATCATCATAGGACGCATCGATCACATGCAACAATTCAAGGTTAATGCCAATAAACACGAGATTCATCCACAAGTCGGCCACTTTGATCATGCACACATTGCTTGGAGCCCTCAAATTTTTTCAAATTTGGCCATACATTAAGTCTCCAAGCGTTCAAAACCACACCAAACATTCACACCCACATGCATAAAAGACTACCCCCCCCCCCCACTTATGCTCGACATTGCCCTCAATGGCGTAAATAAGGGGTAGAACGATGTTACCGGATACGATGTGAATGTTGGTGGTCGGGATCGGAGGTCGGGTGATATCCAGAAGAGCTAGGAGACGGTAAAACACCAACAAAGTCTCTCCATTGGTCGTCTTATTGGAAAGAGATGCAAACCGATGGTAGATGGTTTGCCTCCCACCAAGCGCTTCTTTAACGTTGAGACCAAGACGATTGCTCCTCTAGTTTCGGTCCACCTTAGAACCTCCTTGAAGTTGACGTTCTCGTCGATGAGGTTATGTCTCAAGTCATGAGCATTGGACGAGTCCATGATTGAGGGCTCGTGAACTTAAGTGGCCTTGAGGCTCCACCCATGAGACCTCTTCTTCTTTCCTTCTTCCTTATTCTCTTTGCCCCATACCATGTAGTGCATCATCGATTTGCCATCATCGCATCCACCAAGCAGGATCGTCGATGGTTTGGCCTTGTCTTGGCAAAGAGCCGCAAATGGGTCCTTCTCCAAAAGCGCATCAAGGTCGGGTGGAAAGCTTTCATAGCCCTCGTAACTTGTGGATGCTTCATCCACCTCGACCTTGTCCTCATCTTGGACTCCACTTACACCTTCTTCTTCATCTTCAACCTCCCTTCCTTCTTCAAAATTTGATTCCTCCCAATGGGAACACCCAAGATCTTCCTCCTCTTCAATGCTCACTTCCTCCTCTTCAACCACTTCTTCCTCCTTCCCATTCATGTCTTCAAGCACACTTTGGAGGGCAAGATGCCATGCAAGCTCATAGAAGGGATTCTCTTGCTCCTCCACACTTGTGTCTTGGTCTTCAAGGTGGCTCTCGGGAAGGGGAAAGTGATGGGAGTCATCAATGCAACCTTCTTGTTCATCCTGACCATGGGAACTCTCTAGGGTGAGTTCTTCTCGCTCCACACGGTTGTCATTGAGCGCCCCTTCAACCTCCTCTTTATCCTCCAATAATGAGAGGCGATAGCTTTCACAAGCTCATACCACCTTCTCTTCAAGTGTCAAACCGGGAGGAGGGAGGGGTTGGAAATCCATGCCGGAGCTCGTTCTTCCAAAATTCTCATAGCTCGCCTCTTCGACTTCCTCTCTTTCTTCCAATGGTAGGAGGCGATTGTGAGCAAGTTGTGCACATGCTTTCTCTACAAGCCCTCCTAGCCTCTCTGTGCATCGACGGAGCTCCTCCGCCTCCTGAAGAAATTTTGAGTCGATAGGGTTGGCGATTGGGAGGTCCATGCTACAACACCCTTCATTGGTGCCCCAAACAAATTGCTCCACCATGAGCTCTAGTTTACTCTTTGCCTCCGGTTGTGGAGTGGCACATGGTCTTGGGGTTTGTCCCATGAAAGCCTCCATGGCACACTCCAACTTTGATTTCACCTCGAGTTATGGAGGGAAACCTTCTTGATATGGGGAAGCTTCTTGGTATCCCCATGAGCATGGTTGCTCTTCGTGGAAAGGAAGTTGGTAGTAGAATCCGGATCCTTGACTTCCCCCTTCTTGATCGTCCCATGAAGGTCCGGGGTAACCACTCTCGGGTGTTGGTGGATACCCCCACACTGGGGTGAAATCATAAGGATCCATGATCCAATACCTACTAACACAAAAACATTAAAAAGGAAAAATCAAACACACACAAACCACCCTTCAAGACGATGAGTGGTAAACAAAACACACAC